CACCACTTCCATGTTGTCTTTGATGTTACTGGTGTCTAGAATTTCTCGATTGATTCAGTTTACGATACACAGAACTTCCTTGTGTTTGTTGATGAAAGGGGGGATCTGGCTGGGGGTGTGTGCATCATTGGGGGGTGGGGGTGGTCAGATGCTGTGCCACTCCCCAAATGGCGATCGGTATGTTCCGCCCTCCCACTTTTCTCACTCTATGTTGCTAGTTCGGTCACCTGTGCACAAACATCGGCACCGCGATGGATTGGGTGCTGCACATTCGCGCGCGCACGCGCACACACATGTTTCCCCGTTTCGAACCAATGGGAAGCATCTTGTCATGAACTGATGCTGAACTTTGTCCTAGTGCTGCCAACTTGCCGTCTCTTGCACGCATCGCGCACAGTGTGTGCCCATCTGATGGTGGGCATCAGACGCAAGCACATACATGCACACATTCATCAAAGCTGGACCAGAATCAGAGGCATTGGTGACACGGGTACACATTGAAAAGTTTTTTCGCTTTTCTGCTCTCTCTCTGATCCACCGCCCTGACTGCCCAGCAATGACTACGATTCAATTCAAATTACAATCTGCCAACGGCAGTGGACTGAATGATCTTTCTTCCGGAATGAATAGTACACATGCGACCAACACGGATAGTTGCCGTTCCACTGAAACATTTGTGGTGAGTTGACCTGGTTAATCTTCACACTGCTCAGTAATATTACTAAACAGAAAAGAAGTCACCAAAGCCTATTGGATATTCCACCTCTTATTTGTAATGTTTTGTCTTTAAGAAACATTATACACAATCACTAAGATTTGTACAAAAGATGCATTTTTTTTACTGGATTAGCATTTTATTTGCACCCTATTGAGTACAAGCCTTCTCACTAATTGGTTCGGATCGGTTGACTCAAAACTGGTAATCTTCGGAAGAGTGCTAAATTTAAACGTTTACGATTCAGACTAATCATTGAACAATTTATCGGTGTTTTCGGCCGAATGACGTTGTATCCATCAGTTCGGTTAAATCTAGCTCACCTCAGAATACCACTCATGGTCAAATTTAGCGGAATACTGGTTCGGTCAAGCCTAATATGAGATCATGGACACAATGTTTAATACGGTCTCCTCTCAGAGTCTGAGTTCAACTCTCATTTCGAGGTGTAAATCTGATGAGATCTGACAGGAACGAAACTCGAATTTAATGCTTCTTTTCAGTGGTTATGGATTCACAAGTTTGCACATGTGAGAGAAAGTTCTAACGACTGTGCTTCTTTGCCCAATTGTTGATCGGAAAATGAACATTGTTGAAAGGTTTTTAGACGAAAAGAACAGTAAGGGCATGAAGAGTATTGATATGCTGTATAGTCTTGCGGATATAACTAAGAACTGTACAGGTGTGACAGTGACAAAAACGGGCAGATACGCAAACAGCGGTTTATATCAGATGATCAATGGAAATCCCCAAAAGGGCTGTATTTCCGGTTGACCTTCAAATGAAGTCTTGAACATTGCAATCGAGTCAATCTTGACCCCATGATTAGACAGTACTTCTGCCTATACAGCAAGCTCTTCGGTTGTTGCTAAATTCTTGAGGTAAATCATGCCGCGGTCAAACTACAGTTGACGGGCCACTTCTGTTAAACGTCTTTCTGATGGACTTGTTGCCTTAGCAGCAAAGAGGAACTATCATGTTTCTCCACTGAACTGAGTGAAACTCCCCTCAATGAAATATACGAGATGCATTTCGCTTGCAAACTTTGGATGATTCGAAGTATCCACTAACTACACACCAACACAACATTATTAGAAGGGTTTAATTGAGAAGTTCCACGCAACATTTAAGTAGTAACTGACGGGTAACTAAAACAGATCCTCGAAAATGTTACAAAAACCAAAATTACTAATTTTCAACTCGAAATGTTGATTCCGCTTTGTCTAAATTATTAATTAGAACTGAAAGAAATGCTAAAGGAGTTGTGTGCATTTGGTTGACACCCATAGGTCTCACAAGGATAACATGATGCATGAGTCAACTAGTGGTTTAACCAATGGGGTACATGTGTTGATAAGTCAATTGGTCTACCCTATCAACCTGGTAGTCAGTCGAAACTCCAAATGACTAGTGTTCACTGAGGTGGTATTGAGAACTTTACTTAAGTTGTGCCAAACCCTCATAGTCTATAGTACTCTCACAGACAAGATATGAACTCGAACGCATCAAGGGAGATTTAATGTGCTGGCTCCTGTCAAAGCATTACAACAGTCCCCGTAGATTTGAAAAAATACACATATATCCCGTACTGTTGGCCTGTGCAAACGGTTAATTTAATTGAAAGTAATATAATGATTTTATTGGTCGGGTTTCATTTCGGACTAGCAGGAAATCAGCATCATGGTAAATTAATGGAACGTTAATAGTTCAGTGGTCAGCTTAATAACAGGTAGTTTTTAACGGAATATGTGACAGTTCCATTGATTGTTGAATGGACAGGTCCCGTTCATAAAATGAATAGACGTTGCTTTCGAAGGTGATCAGTATTTCAGTAATACCAGAGTTGTTCTCCATTTTACGAATAGGAGATGTTATAATTTGACAATCACTCACAACTAATCACAACTTTCGTATTCGAAAGGGTAGTTTGTTGGAAGGAAGCGATAGATTAAAGTTCCCTTTTTGGTAGAGCTCATCATTAATCCATGTGTTTGCCAATGAGATTGAAAGTTTATTCATTCATAATATGAAGTCGTTGAGGCTGTGATCAGCAGGGTTGCTTCACGGGAACGTGGACGGGGTTCAAACCCTGATAGTACTGACGGGACGGGCCAAAAGTGAGAGTCGCATCTACTGTTCTTTATCAGAAGAGAGGGAGTAACTGAAAATTGTAGAAGAATTTGAAGACTGCGATCAAATATGAGTGATGTACCTTAAACTACCAGCTAGGATTTGTCCTAGAGGCATATGACATAAGTTGAGTACTACATTGGAAACCATTTTTACTGGTCCACTGATTTTGTAATGTTCCAGGATGCCTGGTTGCTTTCCATATAAATGTTCAATAGTGGATACCCTTATTTGGAATGACAGTACAAATCTGGCCCTTAGTTCGTTGGAGCAAACGTGCTAAGTGGTGTTCAGTGGATCACACATACACACAAACTTAAGCTGATCAAAGCATCACATTAAAGTTGTCAGTCACAATCCTTCTCCAGTAGCTTCATGACTTAGCCAGTAAAACACTTGGTGCTCATAGGCATATTGTTTCTGTCGCTTGTTCGAATCCGGCTGAAGCCTATATCTTTCGCGATTGAGTCTCTTCTAGACTGTGAAACCCGTATCACTAAATATCAGTTATTTCTATATTTTGGAAATATACACGGTTCTGATAGAGTTTCTGTGTATTCTGTAGAAATAAACTGAGATAAAAAAAAGCTTAACCTAGCCGTAACTCAGTCGATGAAGTGACATTTCCTGTAAATGAGGTTAGTAAGCGGCAGCCTACAAGTAAGGGATGCGCCTTAACGACTTCTTTCCTGGTCACGACCGACTGTATTGTACACGACTATTTAGCATGAAGACTATCACATTTTCCCAATCTGGTCAATAGTGTCGCTAGTCAGAACGAGTTGGCAGGTCTACTTGTTAAGTTAATCATCAGTAGATCCACTACCTATCTGATTGTATGTTGTGTCCAAAAGACA